ATGTGGGATGAGGAGAAAGGAATAAGCATGTGGATTAAGCCTTGTATGAACCAATTTATCTTGTCACTGTCTCATGTAGCTTGATGGCCAGTGAATGTGACAAACAATCCAATATCTTTGACCCAGGCTAGATATTAATGTCCAAGAAAAAGCCTGTCTTTTTTCAATGCTTTAAAATACAGATTAAAAAAAATAATTCTGATTGTGTGTGCATCAGTGCTGTTTGGGGAGGTCTTTGTGTGAAGGCCAGCATTGTGGAAGTAGCACCTTTTGTGAGATCGCAGAAGGAAACGTCGAAACCTGAATGGTTCATCTTTCAATGGTGTATCAATTTAGACAGATTTGAAGAAACTGAAGTAGTTTTGGAAAGGAGGAAAAAAAACCCCACCACAAGAACACCTGTTTTGGTGCCCTCTTAGGATGTGATGAAGCAATATTGGTTAATACACATTTCCAACAGATGGCTTATGGAGACTTGGGATATTCCACGTTGTCTTCTAATTTTCAGATCTTTTTCATTGAGACTACTGAAAAGCTAGAAAAAAAGTTACAAGAATCATGGACAAGTAAAATTCTGTTAAAGAGGCAATGGGTATGTGCAGATTATTTTTAGTGGACGGTCAATGTCTGTGGTATCAGTAATACAACAGGGAAATATGCAGGGCATAGGTTACAGTAGAGTTACTTCAAAATTAGGGGGGTTGATTTCTTGTTGTTTTATGTGTGTGTGATTATGTCTTGATGCTTGTAGAACGCTGGTGAAACTGCAATAGTGACTTCATTTCCTTTTTGTGTGACATGAACTGCAAGCTGGATCTGTTCAACATGATCCCATCATAGCCCTCTGTGACTGTAGTTGTGTAGCAGTTGCCAGATAAGCAGAATTGAACAATGTTGGTCATGTTTCAAACAAGCTTCTTTGGAGAATGTTTTGTTGACCACCTCAGCTTTAACAGCAAACCTCTGGCACGTTAACTCTGGAACTCCTTGTAGCCAAGGTGTGCCAACCTTAACATGATAAAGAAACCAACTCGTTTGGAGCATGGCTTCTTGAGAGACCTTTCCTGTCTTAATTTTTCCTTTTTAAGGAATGTTATGGCACTTGGTAATTACACATGAATTTGTATTTAGGAGCAGAAAGTACTTATCTGCCTGGTACATTCCAGATGGATCATACAGTAATCCTTGTGTGCAGCCCACATGAGATTGGCAGAGTGTCAGCATGAGAAGGGGGCAGAGGGAGTGAAAAAGAGATTTATGAAGGTCTGAGTGATTTAATCTAGGATTCCAAATCAGCTTAATCCTTCAAGTACACACTACATCAAGCCCATATGTGAAAATGAATGAACTCTGAATTATTTTTTTTTTAATGAAGTGAATGGATGCTTTTTATAGTGTGGTTTGGGTGTGTATTTCAGTATGAGCATGGAAACATACTGCAGCTCATCCTCTAGTGAAAAGAACACTGCCTTTCCTGATTTTGTAACTAGAAGGCCTCCAGCATTTCAGGCACAAAGAGTTTTGACCTTCAAGTTGGTGGCTAAACGAAAGATGGGACAATTTGCTTCTCGCCTCTCTCCCTAAATCACAATATATCAACTTGATTTTGTATTTATTGCTTTCAATTAGAATTTGAAAACAAAAGAATAAAGCTCAGATTGATTTTTAATCTGTTGCTAAAAAGTTTAACCTGTATTTTACTGCTGTAAGTGACCAGGGCAATCATCGTGTGTTGTCCAGTGCTGAGCTATATCATGTGCACAAGGTGTAGTTTATCCACTGAAAGCTGGATTGTTCTACAGATTGGGGTTTTTCAGTGGTGATGTAAACTGTAATACAGTTTCTATAGTTGTTTATGTATATATTTATTAAAGATGAAAACTCAATCTGTAAACATAGTGACTGTTATTGTGCAACTTGCTTGTCTGTTTTTGTCTTGTTCACAGAAAATTAAAGTAACACCTGATAATATATGCACATGTTTGGTTAAACTTGGTGGAAATAAGCTGGTGACAAGCTCTCTTTAAGCCACTTGGAGTGATTTCCATCAGGATTTTTTTTTCTAAGTAGTTCCTAGAGTAGGTTCTTGATTTAAAGAAGTGCAGCAAGCTTCCTCATTAGGAGCTAATGCAGACACAGGATGTGAAAAGCCCACCTTTTCTTTAATATGTAGTTTTCTTTCTTGGTGAAAATGTATAAAACCAGTCGTGTTTTGGTTTGGGGTTTTTTTATACAATAATAAAGAGTAAGAGCTTTATGACTACATATCAGATTCTGGATGTCTTGGTAGGATTTTTATTTCCTAAAATTTGTGAATTTGACAGTGTCTCACAAAAATCAGTGCATCTGTATTTCAGTCCAAGTGCCATGTAAACAGGATTGTATAGTGGGTAAATGCAGATTTTAAACCTATGTGTTTATATTAATTTTTTTTTTTTTGCCCCCTCAGAATCAGATCAGTGACTTAAGTATTGTATCAAGTTGTGGAATGCAACAAAATTCAAATCCTCCAAAGCCAGAAAGCACAGAGCCTTCAGAACAAAAGCCTTCATTACAAGTGCAAGAGCAGGTATGTTTCATCCAACCCTAAATGAAGGGCTCTTTTTTTTTTTTCCCCATTTAGAACTTTGTTTCAGTACTAAAGTTGGTTTGTTTGGTAGAATGCCTGCAGTGTTTTCTGCTGAATGTATTATCACTAATAAACTAATGAGTTTGAAGACCTTTAGGATCCTAAATTCTGTCTTTTGACTTAGCATTTTAAAAATATGAGGAAATGTCCACACTGCTGTGAATATCCAAGTATGTTTAAATGGGCCAGCTTGAATTCTGAAAGAAGTCAGACTGTGGTAATGTGCAGGATGACTTGAGAGACAGGAAGCAAGAAAAACTGGCCTGTGCCACAGTATTGCAGTGAATCAGTCAGGTGGACATAATGTTGCAGCCTTTCACACATGAGCTCAAAGCCCTGAGTTCTGGTGTCTCATACCTTAAGGCTTGTCTGTGCTGCCTTCGAAGTTACTGCTGCCATCCTGCACAAAAAGCTGTAGCTTCATACAAGACATTTTAGAGATAAATTTAGGAAAAAAGTAAATTCTGCAGTAAGTAAGACACGAAGTGCCCTGGGCCTGCTTGCAGTGCCACCCAGTGGGCACGGGAGGGGCAGTGCTGGTGCTCCTCAGAAGATGCCCCACAGAGGAGAGGAGCTTTAGTTCCCTGCCGTAGTTCACTGGTGTGTTTGCGATGCAATAAACCACCGTGTTGGAGAAGTGAAGTGCCCTATGAAAACGTGGGCAACCTTGCACTTAGTACTTTTAAACACAATACTTAGTTTGGAGTAGTAGTAGTTTCTAGTGCAGTTAAGGCTGGGGTATGGGCAGCAGGAATCTGTTTTAGGGGATGGGGTAGGAACAGTTAATGAATTAAAGTAAGGGGTGGGGAGTTTGCTGGGATATTCGCTATCACAGCACCTCTGCTTTTGGGTCAGCATAAGTGCTGGAGTGACCCCTGGCAGCAGAGTTGCCTGAGGCTTTGCTTTAAAAGCAGATATTTTCTTTTGGGTCATTCCATATAGACTGTACAAAATCAGCTGAAGTGCTCCACCTGACAGCACATGGAATTGGGGAACAGGAATCAAATAACTAGTAAAGGAAAAACTGGAAAGATAAGATTCTAACAAATTGCTCTGGATTAATTAAAGGGAAAGTCGATTTATAGAACATGTAAAATGTCAGAATTTTAATTCTGTTGAGCTATTTAAAATATTAGCTGCAGAGATACTGGAAAAAATTACTTGGGTAGCATAAATGATAATTCTGTAAAGCCAGTTAACTGGCTTTGAATATATCACAGTTGTGTTGGTGCTGAACCACATTTTTAATAATGTGGACAACTGGAAGACTACTGGAAAGACATTCCATTTCAACTATAAAAATACATTTTTCATCTAATTGAAACAGATGCCTAAAAAATAGTGTGCATATGCTAAGTATGGTGAGATTCCTAAACTCCCTCCAAAATGTCACACTTGAATGTTGATTGACTAACTTCATCTCATGCTAAAGATACCACATGTTTGGGAATAAAAATAAATGTCTGCTCTATGATACTGTGAAGTGAAGTGTTGTATCTTGGCCATTCAAAATTAAAATCAGTTGTATCATGCAATGCTTTCGTGCCAGCAATCAGCAAAACTGAACCAGAACACTGATACTGAACCCTGAATTGGCAGTCAGAGGTCCTACTGTAAAGTTTAACTTACCTGAAATGATTTCTGGAGAAACCCTTTGAGCAGCAGCAGTTGCACCTGCACTCTGTTCCTATCAAATAAAGTGGTCATGTTGCCTTTTTGCAACCCCTGTTGATCTGTCTTCATGACACACTGAGTTGATGATATGCTCAAAGTATATTTCAACCAGAGATGGACAAAGGCAAAAGGTGGGGTTTGTACTTCATGCTGGAAACTAACTTCATGTTTGAGACTATCCATGTAAGGGGGCTGGTCTGAGTTGGCTCAAGAGCATGGCAGAGATGTCAGTTGATTACTTGACTGTTGTAATGTATTAATAAAGGAAAGTTAGTCAATTAATCATACTGAAGTCAAAAGCAGAGTTTGAAATGATCTGGAACAGTGATTTTTCTCTTAATGGAATCTTAATAGTTGAAGCACAGGTCTCTGGAACAGTAATACCAGTGGAGGAAAGTAAGAACAACTTTCTAGGAAAAAATTCCTAACATAATTAACAAGGTTTATAAACTATAGAATGTCTCAGCTGCAAAATGAAAGTGTGCCTGACTAGAAGCTGGCTAAAAATGAGTAACAATGGCAGTAGAGGTGAGTAACAAGGGCAAAAGTGAGTGTGATTTCAAGCCCAAGGTTTTTTTAGGCACCTGTATTGCCATGGCTTCACTGCTGTTATCTGTGCTGGGAAAATTGGAGCCAGCAGAGCAATGTCATGGTACAGTAGTTGTCATTGTGAAGTAGTGTCTTTGTTTAGACATACCATCAGAATACACTGGAATTGTGCTGCAGGCCATTCAGGCTTCTGAACAGAATGTTGTATTTCAGTCCAGCTGTTTTACATAACTTCTAGTCCTGTGCAACCTCAAAAAAAAAAAGGAAAGAAAGGAAAATTTTGAGATTATGGGTGGTATTAATAGTTGTTTCTTTTCTCTTTAGTAAAATACATTTTAAAATATTTTCAGTAAAATATTAAGAAGATGATATCCTTAAAATCATATTTTTCTAACAATGTCAGTGGTGTAACTAGATGCATATTTTTGGGAGAGACTTAAAGGACTGGTAGATGTAATTGTCTACATGTATATACACACTTTTCAAGGAGGTATATACACATATGTTTAGGTGTATACAGATTCTTTTACCTGTTGTGACATCTATTGCATTGTTAATGTAAAGGGTGAGGAAAACTGTCTAGGCATGTATTGCTAGTTCAGTTGTGTAGCTTCTATTTTCTGTGTTACTTTCCCATCTTTTAGGCCGTTTCATTATTTCCAACTTCATAAATTCAGTGAGGATTTTGTTCAACATGTCTGTTTTTCCCCACATCCCCCCAGAATGCCTTGTGTAGTTCTGGCTGATGGATGATGGCAGGTGCCATGTTCATGACACAGTCCATAGCCTTCTCCCTTCCTTACTGCTAGTGCACAGTCTGTCCCAGGAAGGCTGTAAAGAAAAAGCATCCATAGCCAGGATGTTCCTTGTAAATTAAATTAATTTCAAAATTCCTGTAACTAGGGCACACTTGATTTTACATGCATTTGACCTAGTTGTCTCTTGTAGTTTTCTTGAATTTGTAATAGACCTTGGGAGTTGCACAGTGCTGTCTATATTTCTAAGCTTAAAACTTCTTTTTCCCTTCTTTTTAGCCATTTCAGTCAAGGCAGAAGCATCTGACTTTGGAGGAACTGTTTGGAACCTCTGTACAAAAGGAACAGCCCACTGCTCCGTATCCCAACGCAGAGAGAATGGAGAAGCTGCAGACAGATGCATCTGCCAGAGAGCAGCACAGTTTGCTTTTGCCTTTTTCCTTTGACCAGTCACCAGTAATGCAACAATCCCTCGGGAAATCAGAAAGTCCAGGCGTTAAAACCAGTGCCAATCAGCAGGACTGTTTAACACCTATGCTAATGCCTCCAGCTTCAGTTTCCCAGCCTGATATAAAAAATGTTTCAAGCTATTCAGTTCGTTTAAGCCCTGTTCTTAATTCAGCCTCGACAATGGAAGCTGCCCCTGCTCAGATGCTTCCTGGCCTAAAACAAAGCAACAGTATAATGCAAGTTATGCAGCAAGCTGCCAAGCCCATATCCCCACTGGTGAATCAGCCGCCGTCTGAGGGGAACCACGCTCCACAAAACCTAATGGCTGGCCAAAGCCAGCTCATAGCACCCTTGACAACAACCAACACGGGAACTGTCTCAAATCCATCTCATACAAGTGTTGATCTTCTCCAGAAACTCAGGTTGACCCCCCAGCATGACCAAATGCAACAGCAGTCTCTCACTAAAACGTCCTTAACACCGAACATCTCTGCCTCGGTTGGCCAACTTGCAACACCAGAGAGCTTCAAAGAATCTCACACTAAGCCATCAGCCTTGAACAGCAAGATAATCCCTCCCCTTCAGGTATTCTGATATCCCTGAAGTTTTAGGCTGTTTTTAGACTATGTGTATTTTTCCCTTGGAAACGTGCTGTTGTATAGTAGCCTTTTAGAAATAATGAAGGACTTCCACTGTGTCATATTGATTGAATTGCCAAGTTAGACATTCAGTTCCATTAGTTCTATATCATTAGCATCTGCTACCAGTGACAGACCTGTCTGTAGAGGAGGAGGTTTTTCAAACTAGTGCTTTTAGTGGGTGGTGAGTGGGTCCTAAAGAATTCACCTGTACTTGTGTCATAAACGGACTGCTCAGAGCTGCTGATCTGAGAAGGGACAGAAGGTCACAGGCCAGGGGTTGCCAGGGGTGATGCTGTGGAAGTGGAGCCTGTACCTTATTTAAAAGTATAAAATTAACAATTTCCTTTTTTTTTTTTTTTTTTTAATTTAGACTGTACAACAAAACAAAGAACCAGAAGTGTTTCCACAGCCGAAGACTTTGTCTAAGGCAAGTCAAGTAAGTGAACAAGTACCTCTGCTAATTGTTTATTGGTTTTCTGAGAAAAGAGAAAACCCAGCTGTGGTTCACTGTTGATCTCTCAAATAGTCATCACCCACTGACCATATTTAAAGAGCTGTTATGAAGCAGAAAGAAGCTGCACTAAAGGAAGGGGGAGTTCTTGACTGCCTCTTATTGTTGGTTCTAATGTGGAAATGAGAACACATTTTTGGATTTGCAGCCTTGCAATGAGTTTGCACCATTTGAACTGGATTTTTTTAATGTTTCAAACAAGCAGTACTAATGCCATAATATTGTAGCAGGGGCTATTAGCCTTAACCCAGCCTTAAGGACCCCAGAGGCATAAAATGTAGCCCTTGCCTTACTGTCACTTAGTTTTCCTGTGGTAACCTTGTATTTTATGAAAAGATACAAAGTGAAAGAAATGGAAGATGGAGGAAGAAAAGAATAACAAGCATTTGTTATTGCAAGACTGTCTAATAGCAAGTTTTAGTGATCTAAATTCAGATTTAACATTATTAGAACTGTCTTGGGTAAGAGTTCAAAATAATGTCAATTTTAAATTTCAGATTGCAGTTAAAAAATAACTGGTAATAGTCAAGCCTTCAAGAATTATTTTAATTACCTTTTTGTTATGTGTTATTTTTAGGATACCATCTGTAATTTAATTCTACTTTTCCTTTACCCACCCCCTCCTTTTTCAAATCTCTGAAATTGCCTCATTCTTGTCAAACTTGCACTACATGAAAGCAGTTTTAGTAGCATGCCCAGATCTGATTGTGAAGGCAGTAAAAATGGTGCTACTTAAAGTAAAATGCTGTTCTAGCTACTGGCCTGCTGTGAGATAAGATCTACAGTCTGTTCATGACCCAGTTAGTAAATAATAACCAAACTAAAAACATTTTATATGGATTTGGGAATTTTAAGGAATGGGTGCATGTTGTGTAGTAAACTGTATTTGTGGGTTTAAACACATTGTCTTCAGCTGAAATCCCACGCTATGAGTCTTCACAGTTTTGACTACAGCAAAATCAGTTTTCTGGTTCTGCTGCTCTTGATGTTATTAAATACACATTAACTTCAGATGGTCTTGGAGGGTTTTTTCTTCTGAAAATCTTTGGTTATCCAAGGGGAACTCCTTTTACTGGCATATCAAATATCTATATATATCACATTTAGTGTTGCTGTTCTTTTGAGTGAGATTGGCTTGTTTATTTTCTTTTTTCTTTCACCATGTTGGTCATTCTGGAGGCCTGAGCAAGACATTGATTATGACACTGACTAATGATTGCAGTTATCAGGAGATGGCAGAGCTGCTCAAAGAAGATGTTTACTCATGTTCACTTTATGCAAATATAGTAGTCTTATAAATTTGCAATTTTTTGTTTAAAAGGAAAAGTGGTAAAGGCAGTATGTGGATTTTTGTCATGAAATGGAGATAGACCTGTGGAAGAATGAGGTGGGATGATGGTCCTCAAAATATCCCCATCCCATATTCCCCACAAGGGAAAATGTACTTTAAATGAGAGTATTTCAGTGTACTCCAACAATTTAATTATAATTCAGCAATCTCTTTAAATATTTTTGAGATACATTTCGAATTTGAAGTAAAATATTCGTAGGAGACCACAGAAGCAGGGGGGGCAGGAAGCAGGACTGCCTTTCTGTGAACCCCCAAGGAAAATAATAATCTGCAAAACAGCTACCAACTCCTTTGATTAGCTCGGTGAAAAGCTCATCTTTCATTATATGTGTTATGTTTCAAAAATTCTGGAAGGTAGCAAGGAGTCTGCATGCAAGCATGTTCAAGGCTGCTGCTTTCTTTAGCTTTGAAAATGAGAATTACTATTGGTATTAATCTTCATAGATAGATATTTCTTAATTAACAGCACCTGTTTTGTAATATCTGACTGAATTATTGTGGCTACAGTTTATTTAATTTTCTTTTTGCTTATCTCTCCAGCCTTTACAACATCATTCATTCTTACTGGAAATGGTGCTTATTAATTTTCTGTTCTCTTACAGGTCGCACCCCCACAGTTTGTTACAGCCACGACAACAGTAACACCTTCAGTCCTCTTGTCTCCCAGTGTGTTTCAGCAATCAGCTACAAAGGCTACTGAAGTGGAGAATAAAGCCAGTTCTTCTTCGCCTTTAACACTTGGAACAACAGAAATTCAAACTACACCTCCTACTGTTCTCAGTAGGTCTCAGCTGCAAGAAGCACTGATACATCTAATAAAGGTACTGTCTATACAGAGCTCAATCTCTGAGGGAGAGTTCCAAGTACAGAAGCCAGCACTGAGCAATTCCATACCCCTGTAACTCCTTTTGCTCTGAAACATTACAAAATACATTCTTTTGTCTTGGAATTACTCCACACTGTGCACATAGTATGGCACAGTTTGCTCCTCTTGGTTGAGATGTGGAGCAATTAGAACAGAGTTCATGGGATGTGTCCTCTCACATCCATATGAATTTGTAGAGAAGTGATGAATAAGTGATGCTCTAGTAGAAGCTGGTGTGGGGATGGGGGGAGTTGATTTTGCTGTCTTTGTAAGTTTTCTGCTTCCCCAAGGAAAGCTTTCCTGTTTTCAGTTCCCTAGAACCTCTCCTCATCTTTACCTGAAGTATTTTTCTTTGAAATGGAAATTGCAAAGTTTTACTTCTGCTATTTCTAGGGACTAAAAAGTTCAGTTGCATTAAGCCTGTGATGTTGGGAAGCAGCCATACATTGAGATGATTTTGACCTCTAATGCCATGGTGAAGTTGCCATGAATGACAAAGGGTTCTTTCTTAACTTGGAATTCTCTTGCCCTCTCCATGCTGATGTGCAGAGCTTACACTCAAAATGCAAGTCTAAAAATAACAAACAATATCTTCCCAGTGGTCAAGTTTTAGGACCAAAAAGGGCCACTACCAGATCCCATCACAACGTTGCTTGATTTATCTGTTGTTCCATTT